CTTTCAGAGACTTCCACACCTGTTGTTAATGACTCTCAGAGACTAACACGCCTGTTGTTAATGTCTCTCAGAGGCTACCACGCCTGTTGTTAATGACTCTCAGATACTACCACACTACACCTGAACATATTATCTGTAAAACTGACCTAATTACAGCAACTCTTATTTCCCTGACATCAGTGAACTGGTATTCATCTTTAAATGAGACCGGATCCAAAGTTTCGTCAGTGTTAATGTACAGCTAATGAGTATTTCCTGAAATGGTCATTAAAATCTATTCAATAGTTCATAAGATATTTTGCTAACAGACAGACAGAGTTTACTCTAATAGTTAATGTTTAAGTATTAAACACAGATTTTGTGTGATCAGTTGGCACTCAGAGTATAAGTTGAGGATCACTCTCAGCTACCACCACACCAAATCTTAGCTCCATTTCTGTAAAGTTTGAGTTTTTTACATTTATGTGTCAAAGGTCATTAGCTGTGGCAGCCATTTTGAATCTGGTAGATTTCAAATGTATTTCCATTGTAGATGTCATCCATCCATCCATTCATTCATTCATCCATCCATCCATCCATCCATCCATCCATCCATCCATCCATCCATCCATCCATCCATCCATCCATCCATCCATCCATCCATCCATCCATCATCTTTAACTGCTTCTTCCTTTTTGGGTTGTGGGGGTCACTGGTGCCCATATCCAGCAGTCACTGTGATAGGCGAGGGACACATGGGCAGGTCTCCAGTCCTTCACAGGGACACATAGAGACAAACGAGGCAAACAACCATTCTCTCTCACTCACACCTAGAGACAATTTAGAGTTACCAATCAGACTAACATGTTTTTGGTTCTGGGAGGAAACCAGAGTACCCAGAGAAAACCACGCATGCACAGAGAGAACATGCAAACTCCACACAGAAAGGCCCCCAGACCAAGATTTGAACCAGGGCGACCTGCTCACTGAGGGGCAGCAACGCTACTGACTGAACCACCGTGCTGCCCCTGTAAATGTCAAAACAACAATTTATTTCTGAAAGTTTCATTAAAATCTTTTCTGTGACGTTTTGAATATTTTGCTAACATTAGTTAAATAAACAAGAACACGGTCCAAAACACCACACGGTTGTCTTTACTGATGGGCGATGTTTACATGCAAGACATACAATAAGGCTTCTCTTATAGATGCTAATAAATATTTTATATATGTTATTAATTCCTCTATAAGCACTTTATAAATCATTAAGAATTGTTTATTATGCATTAATTAATGGTGGCAGAGAGAAAGCTGACCAGTTTGTTGCCAAATAGTGAACCAAATCTGTTAATTTCATCTAGCGTTGTTATATTAAACATTTCAGACTAAGTTACTATC